TTTTTTTTTTTTTTTTTTTTTTTTTTTTTTGCAATAAAAACGCTAAAATACCAGATACAAGGCTAAATTTTGAACCTTCAACAATAAATTATCCATGAAAAACGGAATAAGATGTGCTGCCCTACCCAGTTTTTTTTCTCCACCCTTCCGACCGTGATCGCTTATTAAAACGGTACTCGAACTGCAAGAAAAAAAAAGAAGGCGGATAGGTGGCAGTGCACACACAATCAATCAAAATGAATTAACAGGGAAGGAAGTTAAATAGAGACAGCATGATGTCATCAGAAAATAGTGGCTCCCATCCTTCCTTCTTCTTTTTTCCTGTTTCAAAGCTGTCAAAATATATATTTAGTTACCTGTTTGTTCGCATTTCCTAGACGTAAAGTAGACTGCAATTATACCAAGAATCTATCATACGTAATGGGTTCTACTGTAAGTATTATAACTGTGCTCTCTTTTTTACTTCCAACTAGACTGTCAATAATGAAGCACTACCTTAACTAATGCAAGTCATAGAAAAAGTAAGAGAAAATAAAAATTAGCGTCCTAATTTGGCTGCTCATCTGTCTTTTGTTAAGAACATACGGCGTTATTTTCAACATCTGTTAAAACAATATTTGATAGTGATACTCGAGATCGACGAGAACCATCCGGAAGTTTAGCAATAAAATAAAACTTGACATCGCTTGGTATCAATTCCATATAATCGCGAACCCACGTACTATTATTACTTTTTTTCCCAACTTCATAACAATTTTCCAACTCTTTTGTTGCACTGTCTTGGCAGATGAAAAGTAACGAAGTGTCTAACTGCAATTAACGTAATTGGAAAAACAGCAAAATAAAAAATCCCTCCGCTGTTTAAGAAATCAAAAATTGTCTAGATCTTCATATGTTTATTTTTTTATTTTTTTTTGAAAGAAAACAACTTGAATTTAAAAATGACTTATTTACCTCTTTTTTATATGAGAAATGCACACGAGCAGCCGTATTCAGGTTGAATGGCGGAGATTCAAGTACGGCAATTTTTCCTTTAAAGAACAGGTTGGCTGCTGTAAAACCGTTACTGGCTCGAAAACGACCCTGTGAACCGCCAATACTTCCTGATTTGTATAAACAGCTTTGACCTGCAGATTATTTTTTTACTTAGCTTGATTTTGATGTCACAAACACCAAGTGTTAAAACAAGGCAAGCTTAATTACTGTAAAATTATTAATCTAATTTAGTCTTATATTGTTCATCGATTAACCTACCTTCTTCAAAACTACACGAAAGAAGGTAGCAGACATTTGGATCAGGAATTTGAAATCCGATGCGGTTTGCTGACGTTCGAACCCCATGTGCCCGAGTGGTTGTTGGACATACATCACCCTTAACATATTTAGATACCGCGCTGAGATTTTAATGTGATCAATTTTGCCGATTTTTCTGTCTGTACTTCAGAAAAAAGTGGTTTTAAAGGGCAAAGCAAACAAAATTTGTTCTGGTTTTTATTGACGAAGAATTTCAAAAAAAGTCTATTAATTTTTACTAATAACCGCTTCTTTTTTACTCTAGTTCAAACCTTCTTCTTAACAATCTTAACTCTGCTTTTCTAATGGTCGTTGAAAGCGGTGAACTTCAAGTAATCTAGCACTTATCAACTTCGGCGGTTTAACTTTTAAAAAAAAGTATCCTTTGTTTCTGCAGCTTACTACCTGAAAATGAATGTCGTCAAGCATTATCATTCCTTTGTTTGACGACTCAGCTCGAATGGCTATCCTAAATGGTTGCTTCATACTCGGAAGGTCAATAATAGCCGGACCTGGTTGAGGTATTGTTATCTTCTGACAGTCGATCAGTTCCGGAAGTTTATCTTCCAATAAACATACACTTAGTCTAGTGCCATGTGTTTGCCAAAACCTATGCAGGTTTGAATTTATTCATTGTAAAAAATTAGCTACCATTAAATAAACGATACCAAAAGCATTTGTTTACAGCGTTAAATTGATATTTGGAGAAAAATAAATTAGAATTCTATCAGCGCTTATCCCAAAAAGATATTACCTAAAAGATAAAGTCCCCTCACTGGCAAGGCACCGGATCGGTTCAGTCAAAAGGTTTGCTGTTTGACCAGTTTTTAGTCGTACGACACCAAACTCACCTTCTAAAGTGCAGAATAAGATTGAAAAAGAAAGCATATTTCAAAATATATAGCATAAACAAAGAAAAAAGGGTAATTTAGTTTAGCCATTATGTTTTGCTGTTTTAGAAAAAATCTAAAGACGTTACCGGGCATTTGACTTGTTCCAGTCAGTGACCGAAATTTATGAATATCTAGCGGGGTCGACGCGGTCATCCATAACGGTTGTGTTCCATCTTCACTCCCCCACATGCATTCAACTCCGCGATGCAAAAAAGTGCAGTCCAGATTCTAAATTTTAGAACCAGTAAAGTAATAAGCAGAGCTTTCTCATCTTTGTTTACAAACTTATTTAAATTCAGCTGCAAACGATTATTCACTATTTTACTAAGCTATATATTCTAAAAAAGCGTCGAAAAATATTAATTGCAACCACATCCACCTTAGCATTATAAATAGGCCGATGAAGAAGAGCACTAAGTATTGGAGTTGAAAAAAATTTGTCCCCAAGATCCCAGCCATCCGTAGCTTCAGTACAAAGCGTTGCTTTGTACGTGATGTCATCGACCGCTATAAAGCTATCACCTTCCGGATTTACGCTTTTGACTTTCACAGTTATCTGCAATCATAACCTAAGTATTAAGAATACAGTAGAGAAATACATGTGTCGAATAGCATCTGGATTTACCGATTAAAATTGTTCTTTTACAACTCTAGTACTGAAAAGAGTTTGATTTAAAGCATCGCAAAAATCGCGAGTGACTATTTTTCAAACTAATACTTATGCTCATTGAGTTAAGGACCAAAATACTGCAAAACAGTTTTTCGGCGAAGAAAGGGAACTCACCGTAAACCGCGTAGTGACCCGGGTAAAAGAGAAATAGACAACTGTCGGTGACCGCGACATTGGCACTTGAAAACACTCAAGGTCGTGGAGCGATATATCTGTAGCACAAACTTGCATTGATACTTTTGGGCTTGCCCAAAACCTGTAAGGATTTCCTGAGGGTTTTCATTTTTAACCAGTAGAACATCTTTACTGCAATTTAACAAAACAGATCCCCTCTTATAAAGCCTCTACCATCCTCTACTAGTAACATAGTAGACTAATATTCTAGGCATGATTTGTTTTCAAAAAACAGTTTTAAAAAACCTAGATCTTAAAATATGCATCAAATCGTTCAGTACCTGAATGAGAATTGAGAACTGTTTTCTGACTGACAAGAAATCAGGTCTGACTGTAGTGCATTGAATGGTCCGGTATGATCTTGCTCGATATACATGTACAAAAAAGGCGGTTCTGGAAGAATGAAGGTGCCAGTTGCTTGGAATAAAAGGTCTTTTGGCGGTGTAGTGTCGGCGACCTGCCACATCTAAAATCCACAAAAATTTTATAAAAATACTTTTTATCTAACTTTTTTATTTATTTATTTATTTTTTTTGAACTTGAAGGAGAGTGAAATGTCTTTCATTAACAAAAAATAGCTCTAAAATAGCCGTTTTTCTTTTTCCTCTTCGTAGAGATTCCTTATTTGAAGTACTAAAACTTTGCAACCTCTTTTGCGTGTCCAGTACTTTTCCACCGGCAGTTCTCATCAAACTGGTTACAGTTCAACTGGTCAGCTGCCTGTAACGATGGTTGATCTGGTTTTGTTACAAATGGTCTTCCATGGAAATTTTCGCCCAGTTCGACTAGAAAAATCACTTCCAAATTAATACGCTTCATACTATCCGTCAAACAGTCATTAATTACAGAAATAAGCGCGAAAAACAAGCTAATAGCTAAATATGAAAAGTTTTTAACACTGTAAATTTAGGCAGATTTCAGATTAAAAATTTACAGTGAAAACCAAAATTAGTCATTCAGTTATTCTTACTTGCAACTTTGCATAGTGACGCACGGTAAGCTATGTTATCAATCATAACGAATGAGCCCTCGCGAGTATTCATACCAAACGCCAGTATTCCAAGGCTGAAAAAAATTTAATAAGAAAATTCCGAAGAACTTTACATTTTGCTGCATAAACTTCAATGTCTTTAAAGAGCTGTTCAAAGAAGATTTCCGCTATTGCAAGTATCATTGTACGGCTCATAACCAGTTAAAGTTACTGCTTCAAAGCAAATCAACAAATAAATTTTCCTCATCGTCTTTCTGTGACTTAAACAGTTCAGAATCGTAAACAAATAATTTTTTTAAGAGAATAATAGCACTCTTTGTCGAACAAGAAAATATCCAAGCATAAAGAGTAAATTAATCATTACTAAAACGGTGATTCACGAGCTGGAATTTCAGCAACACATTCTGTATTCAGATGTACCGGACCACAGTCTACATAGGGCTTTTCGGGCAAAACAACAATTTTTTCCTTTTGTTTCTCCAAAATCAGTACTTCAACACCTGCACCATTGTAAAGCCAAAATCTGAAATAGCTTCAAAGTGTTATCAATTTAGTAATTTCGCCTTTCACCTTTCGGTGTACACTTCTTATCAGGATTTTTAAGTGAACACTTGCATTACCAGAGGATATAAAGTGAAAAAAGTTATTAATTTTAAAAAAAATTTTATCATTCAATCGTCTGTTCAACAACCATTAGTGAAACAAAAAGACATTTAGTTTAGTTATGATAGATGATCTGTTCATTTCTAATCTTCTTTTTTTCTTTTTTACATCATGTTTTCAGCTCATAAATTCCCACAGTTAACGCGACCAATCAATTGTGCAGACAAAAATATTTCTGGATGAAAATCTAAAACGTCTTCGGCGACCCAATTTCTTTTGGTCTTGATTTCTGTGATTAGAAGCAAACAATTTTTTTACGATCAATTGAGCCGCTTTTCAGGTATGGATACCATCAAAAACGATTTTACTCGCGTAATCAAAACAAGCAGTCTATGTCAACTGAACTTTTAAGCACTGCTGCAACAATTATTTTGCTTTTTTTGAAGGGAGATCAAGAGCTTAAAACTAGTTGTTTACTTCCTACAGTCATAATTTCTTTTTCTGTGTCTACCGTTTATTTATACTAGTATTTTATACTATGTAATATTTGTTTTTTAATAATGAGACAAACAAACAAACGTAAATGCAAGTTGTCCAGAAGAATTTTGGCAACCAACCGGCGAGCTTAACCAAAGTGCCGTCTGTTCTTCATCTTTTCTATCACCGGTAAATATCAGCTTGTCCCCTAAAAAGATTGTTCAACTACTTTTTTCAGGTGCTTTTCAACCACATAAGTACAGTTTTAAACCGTATCGTAATTACCAAAGAAAGATGTACTAACATTTTAAAACATGGTAAAAACTATATCATTGACGACTTTCAAAATGTTGTGATTACCAAGTTTTAGCTTGGACGGCCCAGGTCGAACTTGTAAAATTGGAAATTCTGTATAATCAGTTTTTTCGAACAAATGAAAATCAAGACTGTCCAATCCTTCAGAATCTCGTACATTTCTCCATCTACACTTAGAGGGTTCGTCAAAAGTACAGTCAAGATCAGTGGAACGATGTATTACTTTTTCGTCACTCTGACCTAAAAACTTGAAAAACTGTTATAAAATTTAATCTGGCAACTACTTTTTTGATGCTACTTGCCCAATGGTTATGTAACACTCAAGGACTTACTGCTGACGCAGTCTTTAATAATTAGAATAACTTTTTTGAAGAGATAATTTTTCAAAAAGTCTGACTGCTGGTAATAATCAGCTAGCAAAACAGTGCGGGAAATAAAGTATTAGCAAAAAAATGAAAATTTATAAAACAGAAAAGCAGGCATTAAATTAAAAAAAGCTTTTTTTGTCGTTCAATTTTTTTTAACGTTTACAACAAAAATGTCTTTAGCAAATGTGTGCACACCAGTGGTCTTACCGACAACTATTTGGTTTTCTCAAGATCTTTTTGCCAAGAAAAACCGCTATTTAATTTTGCATAATTTGTAGCACAAACGAAAATTAGAACAGAACCAGAAATGATAAAAAAAGCAATTAATTTTCAAACAAATAGGTAACTCTGTATTTCAACTGGTAATTGCTTTTAAAGGTAGAGAATTATTGTCTACCGGAAAAAAAGCCAGAACTAGACTATACTGGTATTGCCATAAACTCAAGATTTCTCAAAATTGTTCGTTTTACAAACTTACACATCCCAAGAAAACTTTCTTTTTAATATTTCTTTCTCAATTATAAATTACTTTTATTCAATTTACTACTACAATTTGAACTCTGAATTCTTTTAACCTGAATTTATTGCTTCACCCTTTCCACTCTTTCTTCCATCTTTTGAGGAATAAAACCTTCCTTCACAATAATCATTTTGAAGATGCATCTACCTTAAATCTCTTGCAGAAAAACACATTGGTGGAATCTGTCCTGCCTCGTGTAATTAACGAACACCTTCAGCAAGCTACATCTATCACCTCATTCAAACCTTATCGAACACTAGCGGGCGAAATCAAACCAATGTAGATTGTAGTCCAAATGCCTTCTCTCTTCTCCTGCTTCATGGAAAAGAATTAATTGCGAAGGAAAGCCATTTAGTTGGTGGCCAAAATCAAAAGAAATCCGAGATCTTTTTATACGTAGAAAAGTTGCTTGGAAGAGTGGAGGTATGTTCTATGCAGTTGTGCTTATGGATGTTTCTTAAAATTTAGGTTGATTCGGAAGTTATTATTGGGAAGTTCCAATGGTATCAGGGAGGAAATGTCGAGATGGTTTTCAGGGAGCACCGCAGATCTGTTTATTGATAAAACGGTTACATCTATAGGAATTAGGGACGTCCGCTGACGCTTGAAGAAACCACTGATGCATTTATTGATGAATATCCTTTTTTTTCTTTGTTGGGCAAAAGTTAAACAGATAATTGCTTAGTCCAATTATTTTCAAGGAGTACTGAGAACTGAGGATTATAGAAAGATTTCAGTAAGATAAATTTAATCTTAACCGGTCTTTAGGCATTCAAATCTTTGTAATTGGTGGTTGTGGTATTGTTAAAGGCACTGCTAGAATAAATACAGTAATTCTGTGAAGCTATAAACGATTAAAAACACTTGTGACAAGTTTCTACGAGTATTTTGGAGAAAAAACGAATAAAGAATTATGTCCAATCAGGGTTTAAACAAAAAAAAGAATTAAAGTTTTGTCTTAGTTTTGTCTTAAAAAAAAGAATGTTGTTTTTTATTCAGTTTACAACGAATCGCGA